CCAATTTGCAAGATTAAACAAAGAAACTTACAGCATGTGTGTACTAAAATAAACTGATTGTGTGCAAGACAGAAAGACGAAGTCAAGTTGGTTCAAATTTGTCAACAGCATTAGATGCCAACAGGAAGGGAAAGCTATGAAGTCAGGTGTGATGGTACACACCTGAAATCCCAGGACTCTGGGAGGCTGAAGCAGGAGGATCACAAGTTCAAGCTTAGCCTGTGGAACTTAGAGAGGGTGTCTCGAAACAAAAAAATGAAAGAGGCTGGGAATGTAGCTCAATGCAAAAGCCTTGACTCAGTCCCCAGCATCACACACACACAGAAAAGAAAGACACATCTCATGATCACTATATCTGATCAAAGGCTGGAAAAGTAGCTCTGGTAAAGTGCTTGCCTAGCATGCGCAATGCCCTAGGTATGTTTGGTTTTTTTGTTTGTTTTTTTTTCCAGTACCAGGAATCGAACTCATGACCTTGTGCTTGCCAGGCAGGTGCTGTGCCGCTGAGCTAAATCCCCAGCCCCGCAATGCCCTAGGTTTGATCCCTGGTACCACACACAGACACACATAGACACATACAGCACACACACACAAAATATGATCAAGTTGCTGATCACGTATAAAGGCCACCAAAAGATACTGTCAAATATCCAGATCCCGGCTACAGAGAATTTTGAGTCCATTAAAATAATGAAGTTTAAATACCTGTATCAATCAGGATTTATCCAGAGAAACAGACCTGTGTGCATGCGCGCATGTGCATGTGTGTTAGAGGGATCTGCCTTGTGCTGCGTGGGAGCTTCAGAAGCTGGTCTAAGGCCGTTTTCTACAAATCGACTCTGGAGCTTCAAGTACAGCATGCAGGGCGGGCCGTGAGGGAAGCACGATGGGAGCAAAGTGGAGGAGAACAAGGACAGTGTGAACCCGAGCGAGGAGCCGGCCCGTGAGGACAGGGTACAGCACAGGAGCACAGCGCCCCTTTCTGGGTGCTGCATCCCAGCACTGAGCACTCTCACCTGGCCTGGAGGCACAGAAGCTCTGTCTGTCTGTTTGTTTATTTATTTATTTCTTGTTTTTTCTTCCGGTACCAGGAATTGAACTCATGACCTTGCGCTTGCCAGGCAGGCCCTGTGCCGCTGAGCTATGTCCCCAGCCAGAAGCTCTATCTGGAACCAAGTGAAGATGGGGTACTTGTGAGCCTGGAAGCTAACCAGCTGAGCTAGCAGAGAAATGACCACATATCTGAGATGAGAACGGCTGCTGCTTTACCTCCATCCTCCTAAGGTCCACAGGAACCTCTCCTGCGGGCCACCCTAGTCAGAAACAGACAGGAACGGTAATTCCGGACAAGGCAATTCAATCTAGCCATGCAGAAACATTACAAAGACCCTGCAGTCCACCCCTTGCCAACTTGACGCCTGGGCTGTGCTGTAAGCCATACATAATCTCCAGACAGAGACAGCAGCCGAGTCAAGCTTCTGCTTAACACAACACAACCGCCCCTCTTACACCCCAATACACTGACCTCCTCCGCAGAAGAACATTACACGCCCCATTTTATTTTTGCATATTGTTCTTTCCTTTTGTAGCCAATTCACAGTCCCTGCTTGACATCTTGTAATGTGCTTACATATAAAGTTATCTATTACTAGCACATCTTAGATGATAAAGGGATGAGAGAGGAGATGGAAGGAAAAATACCTGCCTAATATTATTAAAATATATTCACACCAAAAGAAGAAATATATCATAGTACAGTCCTCATCTCTACAGCAGGTCACAAGATCTCAGCTATTGTCACCTACTACATATATGGTACTTAGCACAGTAGTGATCTAGTTTGAATCTAGGGCCTC